CCCACCTTAGCAGCTGCAGCTGCTATGGGAAGGGCTCGTCACCTTGCTAGAAGAGAAAGTCAACGAAACAGGTCTTCAAGTTCAAGTCAAAGTCAAAGTCGTCCGCAGTTTTTGGTCTTCTCAACTCATGCAAATAACGTGACATCTGGCTCGAATGCTCCTTTTATTACCGTTCCGGAAGATTCCGCACAGCTTATTGCACGGCCCTCTTCTGCACTAGCTGACCATGTTGTAAATGAAACTCGAACATCCTCGACCGATAGGTTTTATTTTATTACGTCATTTTTTATTTTTTATTTCTATTTTTTTTGGGGGGGGGGTTTCATTGTGAGCTCATAATTTATTTATTTATTTATTTTTCTCTTGGCAGTGAGGATATAGCTGGACCATCAGATTCCCAGTCATTCCCCGAGACTCTGAAATCCCGCCTTAGTGCACTGTCGACAAGGTACAACAACGGAAATTTTATGTGCTTTTTTTTTTTTTTTTTATCATAGGCTCTAATTTATATTTCTCATAAATTATTTTATCGGCGTTGTTTGGTTGCCAATGTAAGATTAGTTAAGATCAAGATTAATGTTTGCCTTGGTTTATCGATTTTAGGAGAGTCTAGTACACAATTTCTCAAATGAAATCGATAAACCAAGACCAAAACATCGAAAAATAAAATAAAAATAGTTCGACTATTTAATCAATCAACCAACCGAACAAGGGCATATACATGACTTTTAATGTTGTCGATTTTCCAGATACAAAGATTCGATAACAAAGAGCACAAGGGGTTGGAAAGAGAAACTTTTTACTCGTAATAATTCAAATCCCGAACAAGTTAGTGTATCTCGAATGATGGACCATCTTCATTTGTCAACTCCTAACCCTACTCAGCGTTCTTCAACTGCATCAAATTTGTAGCGCTTGTGTTTTTCTGTAAATTATATATTCGTCGAATGGTTTGATGTTTGAATTATATTTAGTTGTAAGATTTACTCGAGTTTCAAATGATCGTCTCTTTGTTACTTGCCGAGTGGATTCTCTTTCGACCTGTCATTTTATTCTTTTCTGATTTCTTGAGGTGTACAGCAATATTGTTGTTTAAACGAAGAAAAAAAATGTTAAAAAAAAATCGAAAAAGTCCGGCGATGACCGCCGGAAACCGGTGGCGGAAAAATCAGGAGAAAAAAAATCGAAAAGTCAACGCCAGAATCCGGCGGAAAAAAAAAGTTTTGGGTCAAAATTGAATAAGTTGTGAAATTTGGGGTCAAATTGAGGTTAAATTAAATTAATGATGAAATTGGAGCATATTAAAGTATGAGATACTGTTTTAGTTTTTTACAAAAATCTGGACCATATGTGAACTTATTTGTAAAAGAGTGTGAACTTATTTGTAAAAGAGTTTTTTGTCTGGATCTCTCTATGAATAAGTACCCATTGATGTGCTTATTTGTAAAGACTCATTTTTGTAAAGGCTTTTTTTATCTGAATTTATTTATGAATAAGTACCCATTAATGGACTTATTTGTAAAGACCCATTTATCAAAATTCAAAAAAAAAACGAGGGACGAGTAAAGGGAGAGCAAAGCACTAATAAGAAAGGGAGGACTCCATGTTACAAGTCTTTAGTATTGAAACAGGCAGTAAAATTAGAAACAGAAGAATCTAACACGGGTAGTTCTCTATTTCAGAAACACATTACAAGTGGAATATACACAAGTAGTAAGAAGAGGAGAACAAAGTACTTGAACCACTAGATAAAGAAAAAAAAAGAAGAGAATGAATATTATTGAAGCAGCAACCTAGGCAGGAGGCGGAGGCGGTCCTCGTGGCTCAAATCCAACTCTCTCAAATGCCTCATTTTGAGAGAGTACATTCACTTGCCTATTCGAAAGTTCATATAGTGAATCTGCAGATAACTCCTGAATACCTAGTCGGTTTGCTAGGGGAGTCAAGAACACTAGTTGGACAGCTGTCACAGATCTCCCAATTGTGAACAAAAGTTGTCCACCTAAATTGGACAACATATCAATAGCATGAAAATCTGCTATTTCTAAAACTGTAACTCATTTTCGAGTTCTATATTCAGTGAGTAGTTGTTCGATGTTCGTAACAAGATCCTCTCTTTGGGCCTCGACTTGCCCTTCCTCCAACACGTGTAGTTGTTCTTCCATTTCTACAATCAGTCCATTAAAGTAGTTTTTCAGAATGAGTCCATTAAAATAGTTTTTCAGATCCCACGCGTTAACCAACAAAGGTTGATTTTCTATTTCTTCAGCAATCAAACCATCCATCCGCAGCTGTTTGCCTTTAAATATAGAGTAAATATAGAATCTAACATATGGTTGGCCAACGCATCCGCTGCTGTTTACTTTATTGGCAGAGATTTCAATTTCCCCATAGAAGCAACTAATATAGAGTAATTTTCCCCTTATAGTCTTTTCGGGGAGTTAGAATCAAACATATAGTCCTAGCAATTAATAGTTGTTGCCACTCAAAAATAATTTGATAGTTGTTGCCACTCAAAAATAATTTGGACCCTCTATAATGATCGGTCAAACACGCAAGTATAATGGACCAGGAGCAGTGAAGATCTTGAATACAATGGGCCATCAACATATTGCTAAGCGATGAAAAACGAAAGAATAACTTAAGAAAAGAATAACTTAAGAAGATAAGAGTGATGAAAAACGAAATAATAACTTAAGAAGATAAGAGAGTTCGTAGGAAAGTACTTTTATTGCTTAAATGCTTGGATGTTGGATTTTTGTTGGATGGTTACAAATGATGACCTATTTATACTAGGTCACATTCTTAATGGACGGTGGAGATCTATTTGATCTAATGGTTGGGAGTTGTTCACTAGAACACTCCAAAGAATTCCTACAAAATATCTACAATTGGAGTGTTCTATAATATTTTCTAGAATCCTCCAATAATCTCTACTTCCCTATACATTTGGGCCAACTTGGATCTAACCCTATTTGGGTTAAGTTTTGGGCTTCCTTAACCTCCCGACCCAAGTAAAACTGACAAAGGGTTGGGCCAAAACTGGCGGGCCGTGACAATCCGTTGCTGTAAAATGGCGTCGGACTCGAACACGCTATGATTTCAGCATTCAAATCTTGTTTTTCATCCTCCAATTGTTTCCTAATCCATTTGTAGACGTTGCACTCTTCCCTAGCTAGTCTTCGTTCCTCTTGTCTATCATGTAGAATCATCCGGTTTAATTCACCTCTTAGGATTTGTGAATCCAAGTACATCTTGTAATTGGTAGACCTACGGATTCGAGCCCACCTCTTAGCCATCTGGAAGACCAACAAAAAATTGCCTATATTCCAACAAAAAATTGACTTTAAATATAGAGTACATATAGAATCTAACATATGGTTGGTTGGCCAACGAATCTGCTAATCCACTTTGAAATTACGTACTCCTGGCCCATTGTACTTGTTTTAGGTGAAAATTACTACTTTGCTTATGTTGTGTGCTTGACCGATCGTTCTAGAGGGTCCAAATTATTTTTGAGTGAAAATAATTAAACCAGGTGATGTGAAAGGTGAGCACGAGTCCTTAAGAGAGAATAAGAACAGACGAACCTGAAAAAATTGCAAGTGTATCATAAGCAGCCACGAGTAGACCTGACCATGGTTTGGTTCGGTTCCGGTTCCGGTTCCAGTTTTGGAGGAATCGGAACCGAACCGAAAAAATTCGGTTCCTTGCGGTTCGATTCCTAACCGGTTCTGGTTCGGTTCCCGGTTAGAACCGGTTCTTAATAATAATTTTTTTTATTTTATATTTATATATATATATATATATATATATATATATATATATATATATATATATATATATATATATATATAACTTAAAAAAAAAATCAGTTAACAGTTAAATTACTGTCTCCGATAGTTAAATAACTGCTGTAGACAGTAATTTAGCAATGAATACAGTAATATTAATTAAACATTTTTTTTAGAATAAAAAAGTCAATTAACAGTTAAATAACTGTCTCCGACAGTCAAATAACTGCTGGATACAGTAATTTAGCAACGAATACAGTAATATTAATTAATATATGTTTTAAAAAAATCAATTAATAGTTAAATACTGTCTCCGATAGTTAATAACTGCTGGAGACAGTAAATTAGTAGCAAAGACAATAATATTAATTAAATATTTTTGAAGAAAAAAAAAATGATTAAGTGGACT